GTGACTACTGACAGTCATGCCATCATTTGCCTTAGGCTCTGGTCAGTTCTAGCTTATTAATAGTTCTAATCAATTAATTAATAGTTCTTATTAATAGTTCTAGCTTATTAATAAGCATTGAATAATTTCCGCGATGTCATTTTTTGATACACGCCAAAGTAAAAAATCTCTTCACTCCTGTAATGCAAATGATTTCACACACAAAATAACTTGCATTGAAAAAGTGAGGGGATTAATAAACATTTATGCTGTTTATCATTCATATTCATATTTGGAAGACTTATTAATTTGATCTGTTTGATTTTCAATTCATCGAATCGTTGATTCGCCTCGTGTTTAAAAAGAGGTCTGCAGTTACTTGTCGTAGAAGTAAAGGGCTGCAACATACTCGATCCGACATTTGGCAGAAGCTAAATTTCATGGAATGAAGCCGAGTATTCCTGTGGTTATGGGTAGAGGAGTTCCTCAGCTGTGAACATTAGCATAAAGCAGGGCCACCGAGCAGCATGTCTTTAAAGGAATTCGATTTAATTCAGTAATGATGAGTAAATTCACATGCTATATGCTGCAAATTAACGTTAAATGCATATGCTGTCAGATCCCGAGAAACCGTAGCCAATCCAAAACCTCAAATCCGTTGATTTGATTGAGCAAGCAATCAGCAGGAAGATGATGTGCAAAGTCAAAATATGAAGAGGCGATTTGCTTCAATGAGATTTCTTTGAGCAATCCCAGAAACACAACAGGTGGCGTTTGTGAAGAATATCGATCGTCGCAATTAAAGTAACCGTTGCAGACTCACGGTATAAAGTCACAGTAACTACGATGAGAATATCCCGTTCTAAAGCCTTTTGATACGTGTGCGGTAGCACATAAGGAGCACCCATTCTCGTTGTTTATGAGCACGAGGTAGCTCTAGCAGAACAAATGATGAGAAAATCATTTGACGCTGTAGATGCTCAAGTATCACGGAGGCAGGGCCTGCTAAATATGACAACTCCCTCCCCCCCCGTGTAGGTAGGTGGAAGCAAGGGGGTGCAATATTCGTAAAATCTGGCCTTGAAGAGGTTATCTGACAACTGCCGGTAAAGAAATATATTTTGAAGAGTCAAAGGTGCTTTGTCGTCAATCTTGACGTAGTTTACTTCATGTACAGAGTTTATTAAACACAATCCCGACGTTTTGGATCGAGTTAGATCCACCTTCAGGGAACAGTGCGTAAGAACGGCGTTGCATACTGTGCAATTATCTTCAGCTGTAAATACAATCAGCGAATTGCTGATCCGCAGTATTATATCACCCTGATGCTTTTCAAGATGTTCTTGCTGCAGACGTAGCAAGTTGTGAAATAGCAGCTGAAGATAAATTGAGACAGAAGAAAGTTCTATTTAACACTTCAGAGCGAAGGAGCTTGACAGGCACATTTGTTACAATTATTAATTGGTCGTCTGAGCGAGGCAACTCGCGTATTACTATAAGCGCAGAAAAAATAGTTCAGAACTTAGTAAATGTTTTTTTACGCGATTTGCACGGTCTGTTTGGCCAGTTTT